AGGGGGAGGAGGGGGAGGAGGAGGAGGAGAGGGAGGAAGGAAGGAAGGAAGGAAGGAAGGGAGAAAGAAAAGATAAAGTATACAACTATGGTTCTCAGAGGAAAGAACAAGTATGTGAATAAACTAATAAACCAATTTGGATCCATTTGGATCCATAACTTGATTCCATATAGAGTGCTTTCATATTTGTACTTTAAATATCCTGTATGTAAACAAGTACATTGATGTCTATTTATGCTATTATAACTTTACTTTATGATGCATTTTAGAGTTTCATCAAATTTTTAATTTGGCCCTGCCTGACTCCTAGTATAGGTACATATTAAAAAATCAAATAGATGGCGTCCTATGAGTAAGTTACTCAAACTGATGGGTTGTTTTTTTTTTAATAAATAATAATAATAATCTGTTTTCAAGAACAATACCTCCCCTTCCCCACCGCCACTGATGACCCTTTTACAGTCACTGGTGGTCGCGATGGCAGTCACTCCGATCCTGTGGGCGCTGTTAATGACATACATCAGCCGGCCCGTCTCGGGGGCGAAGGCGCGGATTTTCCCATCGTCCCAAGCTGGCGTGGGAGGAAGACAGAAGGCCACAGGGTCAGCTCAGGCCCCCTTTTTGCAGACCGAGGCTCCCCTGCACCTTGAACCAGAGTCCCAGTGCGGAGAAGTGGTCTGGAGGGAAGGGACAGCCAGCCGCCACCCACTTCCAGGAACCAGAAGCCCTGGTGCATCAAACCACTCACACCTGGCTCAGGGAAAGGAGGGGTCCCTCCAGGTTGAACCTGCCCACAGGTGTGTCCCAGGCCAGGTGAGGGCAAGTGGGGAGGGGAGGGAGGAGGAAGGACGGCTCCCACCACGCATGAGCCGCAGCCAAGCACACACAACTAGTCCATGTGATACCTGGGATGTCATTAATAATCCCCAAAGCTACCGGCTTGCCACCCACACCCCACCTTTAAATCTGATGTTCCTCCCCACTTTCTCGCCATCTTTCCCATCTTAGTAAAAGTCTCCACCATCATCCAGCCAGCTGCTTAAGCCCAGAACCTCGGGGTTATTCTTGATTCCTCTCTATCCAGCCACCCAGCCTAATCCGACAGCCAGTCCATCCGCAAGTCCCATCCCCTCTACTGTTAAAAACACCATCTTTCAACCCCTCCGCTGGCAGCACCTTATCCAAGCCTCAGTCACCTCTCTCCTGGATTATTTTACCAGTTTCCTCTCTGGCCTTTTAATTTGCTTCCAAGCAGTCATCTGTAGATGAATTAACTGCCCCCCCCATGACCTTTGTAAAACCAGGTCACCTTCCTGATCAAGAACATCCAAAAGTGCTTCTTACTGTACCTAGAATGAAAATCCAAATTCTTTATCCTGCATAGTCACTAGTAACAACCCACCCACCTCTTCCATCTCCCTGAGGCTCCACCCCAACTGTAATCACTAAGCTCCAGACACGCTGACTTCCTTGTTATTCCTCAGATATACCAAGTGACTTCCTACCCGGTGGCCCTTTGCACTTGCTCTTCTCTCTGCCTGGAATGCCTCCCCCCACCCCAGGTCTTTTCAAGGCTGGAAACTTCTCATCGGCTTTAGTGTCACCTCTTGACCTTAGCAATTTGAAACAGGATGCTCAAGGTAGATAGATCCCATTACAGTGAAGATTTGAGGAAGTGAAAGCATGGGGGAGGACACCTTGGGGGTGTTTGGGGAGAGTGACTTTTCATGAAGATCGAACAGCCAGAGAAAAGCCCTAAGCCTGATGTGTTTAAGGAAGACCAAAGAAGCAAGTATGGCTGGAGAGGGGATGCAGTAAGAAAAAAATCAAAGCTCCTGGTGCCTGTGATTTCAGGCTAGAGATTGTAATCCCAGCAGCTCAGGAGGCTGAGGCAGGAGGATTGCAAGTTCAAGGCCAGCCTCAGCAATTTAGCAAGACCTTGTATCAAAATTTAAAAAAAATAAGAAGGGCTGGGGGTGTAGCTCAGTGGTAAAGCAAAGCTCAGTTCAATCCCTGGTACAAAAAAAGAAAGAAGGAAGGAAGGAGGGAGGGAAGAAAGGAAAAGGAAAAGAAACCAAAGGCAAGAAGGTAGATGTGGGAGAAGAGAGAAGGTTGTGTATGGTCTTTGCAGTAACTACATCTGCCCAGCCTACTGCTTCAGTCTTCTCTATATCAGTTTCCCTGAGCTCCCCACTGCCCCCAACTGAGACTTTGTCTTTCAGAGGGTAAAAGACTTTTGAGCCCTGTAAATGTCAATGATCTGAATTAACATTGCATTTTGTTTCATTTTGCAGGGCTGGGGATTGGCAATCACTCTACCCCTGACCCATGCCCTAAGCCCTGACTTAGCATTTCAAGACAGATTTCTGGCTTCTGTGTCGAGGATAGACAGGGCAAGAGTTGAAGCAGAGAGCCGTGTTAGGAAGCTACTGGAGTTACTTTGGGGAGAGATGATGGTGGCTGAGATGAGGGTAGAGGTGAGAAGTGATGGAACTTTGATATACCTTCAAATGAGAGCCACCAGGGCAGGGAGGTGGACCCAAGAGAAAAGCAGAGGCAGTAACAGCTCCAAGATTTTTGTTTGCTTGTTTTGGTGCTGGGGAAAGCCAGGTTCTTTCTTGTACATAGAATATAAATTATCAATATATATGAGTTATCCATAAGTGCTCTACCACTGTGCTACACCCCAGCCCACACTCTAAGGTGTCGGACCTGAGGATTTGTCAGCTCTTGGTGGAACGTAAACCAAGAGCTCCTGGTGACCACTCTGTGGAGAAGAAATGCAGGTGGGTGGGGAACAGAACCAAAAAATAAGGAAGGGCTGGGGATGTGGCTCAAGCGGTAGCTTGCCTGGCATGCGTGCAGCCCGGGTTCGATCCTCAGCACCACATATCAACAAAGATGTTGTGTCTGCCGAGAACTAAAAAATAAATATTAAAAATTCTCTCTCATTCTCTTTAAAAAAAAAAAAGGGACTAAGATGGGTTCGTGCTGTCAATTTCATAGCTGCGCCTGAAGATGAACTTGACCTTCATCCATGTGACCCAGTAAAATTTACTTATTGACCACTGGAGAAATTTGCCAATGGATTAAACATAAAGCAATCTTAATAAATTATCCTTTCATAGGATAATATTTTTTAGATTTTTAGATTATACTGAAGTATTTAGAGGTGGAATATCATGGCATCTATAATATGTGTTAAAAATACTCCGGCATAAATTGGGTTGAAAAAGTTCCCTTTGAAGCAGAACTTAGTTTTGAGTCGGGTTTTTTATCTCTTGTACAACAAAAAGAATTCTCACCCAAGAGTCCTGGTAATCACGAAAGCCTCAAATACATTTCAAAATTGGATTACTCAATTTCCCTACTGAGAGAAAGATTGGTTGCACGCAACGATTGGAGAGAAGAAAAATTGCTTATTCGGTTCTTCCTGGCTCAGACAATCTCCCAGATGGAAGGGGACTTTGAGGATAGGCTGAGGAGAAGCAAAGAGCGGAGGACAGTCGCAGGGTATCTTCATATAACGACTAGTGGGGACAGAAGGACACAGATGGAAACCACAGCCAGGGCTGGGCTGAATCTTTTTTCTTCCCCAAGACAGAGACAGAGGTGTATTTAGGAAGGTAGACAGACCCACGTCCAAGGGAGAATAGCCCCAGGGGATAAGGCTGGCCATCTCCGGGAGGGACAGGCAGGGCCGAACCTTAGCAGGGAGAGGTCACCTGAAATGATGCTCTTGCCATCTCTCATGAAGTCCAGGCCATGGCAGGTCATGTTGGGCACAGTGATCCGCAGCAGCTCCCTGTTGGACATCGTGTGCCACACCCTGATGTCTTTCTTGGCACAGGTGGCAAATAGCTCAGCAGTGCCACTGCAAAGAAGCCATCGAGAGATGAGAGAGGCAGCCGGAAAAAGGCTCACAGTGTTTCTCAGAGGTGGATGTGACAATAGGAGGTGTGACGGAGGGCAGGATGTGTTTTAGATGCTGATTCCCCCCAAGGCCTGGTGATCTTAGAGATCCCTTATGTGAACTGGTATTGGATGCCCTCAAACCCATCCATGAAAATCTTTTGTAGTTCTTTCCCTTCAGGAAGGGTTGGGACCAATTCGCTAAAAAAGAAAGTCAATTTGAAATCTAAATCTTCGAGGACTGTAGAATAGCAACATTTTATTTTTTGAAAATCCGTTCATTCAAGATCATTGTACTGTCTGTCATGTGTAATAACTAATTAAACCAAATAAAAAAATTTTAAAAATTAAAAAATCAGTTTATTGCGGTACAGTTGACACAAAAGGCCATACATATTGAATGTATGTAACTTGATGAGTTGTATACACTTGGTGAGTAGCATTTCTTGAGATAAATACATCCATTGCATATCTATAACAAACGAGGAAACCCTTTCCTGTAAAGTAGAAAAATTTATTAAAGTGTCTTTTTGTTTTGTTTTGTTTTTGTTACTGGGGATTGAACCCAGGGATACTTTTACCACTGAACTACAACCCTGGCCCTTTTTATTTTTAGTTTTGCCACAAGGGCCTCACTAAGTTGCTTAGGGCCTTGCTAAATTGCTGAGGCTGGCTCTGAACTTGCCATCTTCCTGCCTCAGCCTCCTGAGTCTCTGGAATTACAGGCATTCGCCATTGCACCCAGCTAATTAAAATTTCAAGGAAGAAAATGACAATGGTGATAGAATTCACATATGCAGATAACCCAAGACCCTTCTTTGGTTAGTTATCAGAAAATATGAGGTTATAGACAAAGAAGAGTACCCCAGAGGGATTGTCTGTCAGGCTCAAAAGAAAAATAAAAAGTAATTTGTACATAGACTATAAATTATCAAAATACATGAGTTATCCATAATCTTTGATAAGAAAAAGGGGTGTGTGGGGAGAGAGTAAACTGGTTTAGAAGTTTCAAGCTAGTCTCCGCAGAGACCAAAGCTACCCTTTAGATGTGAGCACTTCTCAGGCATTTTCTACATTTCCTCACAAACATATTTAAAAAAGGGAAAGAGATGGGCTGGAGATGTGGCTCAAGCGGTAGCACGCTCGCCTAGCATGCGCCGGGCGCTGGGTTCGATCCTCAGCGCCACATAAAAATAAAATAAAGATGTTGTGTCCACTGAAAACTAAAAAATAAATATTAAAAAAATATCTCTCTCTCTTTAAAAAAAAGGCAGGGGAGAAGAGCACCTCTCTCTTATTTTAAGATCCACTTGGTTTGCAATTAATAGAAAAACTAAGTGGATCCCTTCTATACATTTGGGGCTCGGAATTAAAATTATGAGCAGGACCAGTAACTTAGAAAGGATACTGGTCAGAGGCAGGCAGGAACTGCAGCGGAGCTTCTGCCAGCCAGTCCTGATAGACAGAGACCCAGTCAACCCTATATTAGAATTAATGGATTTTATAAAATAAGACCTGTTTTATATCAGATAGTGCCTTCAGAGAATGAGCTCCTTTCTTTTTCTGCTGCTGTTGTCGATGAACATTTATTTATTTATTTACATGTGGTGCTGAGAATCGAACCCAGTGCCTCACACCTGCTAGACAAGCACTCTACCACTGAGTCACAACCCCAGTCCAGAAGGGGCTTTTAATGAGACATATGGAGGCTCATGAAAATCCTTTATCATGAAAAAGAATGCCCCTAGAGAACTTTCCCAATTCCCCACCCTTGATGGGCAATCCACTTCTTCAGCAGTCTCAGACAATCACTTGGGCCTAATCTGAAATGAGCCACTCAAGTAGGAAACTGTACTGAATTTAGAATCAGAGAGATTAAGGTCCAGAAAGAACCAACCCAACTGGAGCATGAAGATGTACTAGGTCCACAGGCTCCCTCCTTCCCACTTAAAATCCTACAAAATGAAGATATAGAGAGAGTTAGAGGTAGATATAAATATATTTTCAGTGACTCATAAATCATGGAAAGGATAGCTTCATCTCTGCATGAACCCTTTGGTTGCTGCATAATAGGGCAAGCTCACAGGGGAACACAGGGTCAGGCTAAAACACTGCCGTGGGGAGCAACAGGAATATCAGCTTGTGCACACCATGGGGAAGACAAAATTTGCAGTTTGAATCCAGGCCAGTAATCCCTGGAGAACACAGTTGCTACAACATATTGTATGTAATGGCAAGTTTTCAGTGAAAAACTCCCAGATATGCAAAGAACCAGGACAATGTGATTCAGGAAAAGGCCGTCAAAAAAAAAACACTGATCCTGGGTTGGGGGTGCAGTGCAGTGGTAGAGCACACATGTTTAACACGTGTGAGGTCCCAGATTCAATATTCAATTCCCGGCATGAAAAGAAAAAAAAGAAACTGACTCCAAGTAGACCCAAGTATTAGATTGACAGATTTTCAAAGTGACTACTTACAACTTTTAAATATATTCAAAACATTAAGGGAAACTATAATATCAATAAGCACACAGGTAATCTCATCAGAGAACTAGAAATTATGTATGTATTATGATGATGTATTTTGTGACAATTATGTTTCTTCTATAGGTGAAAAGTACAAAAACTGAAATAAATTTACTATATGGGCTCATTTGGAGATGGTGAAAGAATCTACGTACTTGAAGCAGATATGATAGAAATTATAAAATGGAAAAAGACAGAAGAAAGAGAAGTGAGCAACCTTAGAAACCAATGGGAAGGGCTGGGGACCTAGCTC